GGTGGATCATGAGGTCAAGAGATCTCGACCATCCAGGCCAACATAGTGAAACCTCGTCTCTACTAAAAATACAAAAATTTGCTAGGCATGGTGGTGTGTGACTGTAGTCTCATCTACTCAGGAGGCCGAGGCAGAAGAATCACTTGAACCCGGGGGGTGGAGGTTGTACTTAGCCAAGATTGCACCACTATGCTTTAGTCTGGTGACAGAGCAAGACTCTGTCTCAAAAAAAAAAAAAAAAAAAAGGAAGGTGGGCCAGGCGCAGTGGCTGAAGCCTGTAATCTCAGCACTTTGGGAGGCCGAGGCGGGTGAAACACGAGATCAAGAGTTTGAGACCATCCTGGTCAACGAGGTGAAACCCTGTCTCTACTAAAAATACAAAAATTAGCTGGGGATGGTGGTGCACACCTGTAGTCCCAGGTACTCAGGAGGCTAAGGCAGGAGAATTGCTTGAACCCAGAAGGCGGAGGTTGCGGTGAGCCGAGATGGTGCCATTGCACTCCAGTCTGGGTAACAAGAGTGAAACTCCGTCTCAAAAACAAAACAACAACAAAAAATAACCAAAAAACAAAAAAACCCTGATATTTGGCTCAAGCCTGTAATCCCAACACTTTGGGAGGCCCAGGCCGGCAGATCACAAGGTCAAGAGATAGAGACCATCCTGGCCAACATGGTGAAACCTTGTCTCTACTAAAAATACAAAAATCAGCTGGGTGTGGTTGCATGTGCCTGTAGTCCCAGCTACTCGGGAGGCTGAGGCAAGAGAATAGCTTGAACACTGGAGGCAGAGGTTGCCCTGAGCCGAGATTGTGCCACTGCACTCCAGCCTGGCACCTGGCGACAGAGTGAAACTCAGTCTAAAAAAAAACCCTCCTGGGTTCAGGCAATACTCCTGCCTTAGCCTTTTGAGCAGCTGGGATTACAGGCAGGCATCACCATGCCAGCGATCTTGGCTCACCGCCACCTCCGCCTCCTGGGTTCAGGCAATTCTGCCTCAGCCCCCTGAGTAGCTAGAATTATAGGCACGTGCCACCATGCCCACCGAATTTTTTGTATTTTTAGTAGTGATGGGATTTCACAATGTTGACCAGGATGGTTTCGATCTCTTGACCTCGTGATCTACCTGCCTCAGCCTCCCAAAGTGTTGGAATTACAGCCGTGAGCTCCCGCACCCAGCCCTATTTTATTTTCTGTTTTTAAATACTGTCATTATTTCTAGTTGACATAGCATAAAAATTTACTTGCTGTGTCTGTAGAAACTGGAAATGCCGCAGGGCGTGGTGGCTCACATTTGTAATCCCAGCACTTTGGGAGGCTGAGGCAGGTGGATCACCTGACATCGGGAGTTCGAGAGCAGCCTGACCAACATAGTGAAACTTGTCTCGAAAGAAAGAAAAAAGAAAGAAAGAAAGAAAGAAAGAAAGAAAGAAAGAAAACTGGAAATGCCCTTGTTGACTATTCCTTTCTTATTGCCTTTCTTCTTTATAGAAAAAAAGCAGCACAAAAGAGACAAGAAAGGATACACCCATGGCAGGACGCGGTGGCTCACGCTATAATCCCAGCACTTTGGGATCCACCCGCCTTGGCCTCCCAAAGTGCTGGGATCATAGGCGTGAGCCACCGCGCCCAGCATAAACTGCATTCTTGATTTTGTTCTCAGCTTGAATGTTATTAGTGTAAAAAATGCTACTCAGTTTTGTATGTTGATTTCATAACATCAGACATTGCTGAAGTAATTTTTTAGGCTTAAATGTCTTTTGGTGAAATAGTTAAGTTTTCCCACGTAAAGAATTATATCTTCGATTGGGTGCAGTGGCTCACACCTATAATCCCAGCACTTTGGGAGGCCGAGGCGGGTGGATCACGAGATCAAAAGGTGTTCATCCTGGTCAACAAGGTGAAACCACATCTCTACTAAAAAAACAAAAATTAGCCGGGCATGGTGGTGCGCACGTGTAGTCCCAGCTACTCGGGAGGCTGAGGCAGGAGAATTGCTTGAACCCAAAAGGCGGAGGTTGCAGTGAGCCGAGATCGCACCATTGCACTCCAGCCTGGGTAACAAGAACGAAACTCCGTCTCAAATAAATAAATAAATAAATGCAGAATAAAAGTTTGACAAAAGTCACATTCCCTCGTGGTAAAGATGTGAATAAATTAGCTATAGGGCAAATGCACCGTAAGCCAATAAACACCACATATAACAAAAATTGCACAGCAGACAACATCCCAGACAGGGAAATGTTGTGAGCTTTTACTCTAAGAGCTACAATAGGCGGGCATGGTGGCTCACGCCTGTAATCCAAGCACTTTGGAGGCCAAGGTGGGTGGATCACCTGAGGTCGGGAGTTCAAGACCAGCCTGACCAACATTGGTGAAACCCCATCTAATATTAAAGAAAAAAAGAAAGAAGAGAAAGAAAAAAGAAAGTAAACAAATATATATATTATATATGAACTACAATAACACAAGGATGCCCTCTCTCTTCAGTCTTACTAAACATAGTAATAAAATAGCTGGGTCAAGCCTGTAGTCCCAGCTACTCGGAAGGCTAAAAAGCAGGAGAATCACTTGAACCTGGGAGGTGCAGGTAGCAGTGAGCCAAGATAGCCCCACTGCACTCCAGCCTGACAACAGAGTGAGACTCAGCCTCAAAAAAAAAAGTTATATTGACAAGCAAATTCTCCAGTTAAAACCAATGTTTTAAGTGCATTAAAAATACCATCTTTCTCATCAAAACCTACAAAGTAGCATGTGAAATGACACGACATAAAAACAACAGTGAGAAAACTGTAGCCATAAAACAGGACAAGAAAGGCTGTGACGTTATACATAGTTGAAAACACACAAGACAAACAAAACAACATAATTAGAAAATAAAATAAGCAGAATTTTGCTTTATATTCAGCAAGATTCAGCTTTCCTGCCTAAAAAAAGGTCCTCTACACATAAACAATCAGTATTTGTTCTTAATCGTTGATATTATATGTCTCTGACTTAAAGTTACAAACTGACTCTAACAGGAATATTTACAGATTATAAACTGACTTACTCAGCAAGCAGTGTCTTTTTTTGCTACATTTATATATTAAAACATCCTCATGACTTATGAAGACTTCTTAGTAGTTACCTGAACTGGCTCCATCAATAAATAAATTTACCTCTGTCAAGTATAAGAAGTGAAAGGGGCCAGGAGTGGTGGCTCACGCCAGTAATCCCAGCACTTTGGGAGGCTGAGGCGGGTGGATCACAAGATCAAGAAATCGAGACCATCCTGGTCAACATGGTGAAACGCTGTCTCTACTAAAAATACAAAAAATTAGCTAGGTACAGTGGCGCGTGCCTGTAATCCCAGCTACTCAGGAGGCTGAGGCAGGAGAATTGCCTGAACCCAGGAGGCGGAGGTTGCAGTGAGCCGAGACCTTGCCATTGCATTCCAGCCTGGGTAACAAGAGCGAAACTCCATCTCAAAAAAAAAAAAAAAAACACAGTGAAAGGGACAACTAAAGAAAAGTAGATTTACATATAGGGTTCTTCAATTAAAAGAACAAAATGGAATGTTCTAATTCGATAAAATATAACTACATTAATTGTGGAATTACATCTAAAAATTATTGTACGCACTAAATTTTATAATTATATAATCTTTGACCAGTTCACATAATGAAAACCTCAAAAACTATAAAAGAAAATAATTATAAGGAAACAAAAATGTAGGTTTAACATGAGTATCATGTAAGTAAAAAGTAAATTTGCATCAAAAGATTTTGAACCATAAGCCATAATATTTTACAGTAATTAATCCAGTAGAAAGGAAAGAGTAGGCCGGGTGCGGTGGCTCACGTCTATAATCCCAGCACTTGGGAGGCCGAGGCGGGTGGATCACGAGGTCAAGAGATCCAGACCATCCTGGTCAACAAGGTGAAACCCCGTCTCTACTAAAAATACAAAAATTAGCTGGGTATGGTGGTGCCGGGCCTGTAGTCCCAGCTACTCGGGAGGCTGAGGCAGGAAAATTGCTTGAACCCAGGAGGCAGAGGTTACTGTCTGTCGGCCGAGATCCTGCCATTGCACTACAGTCTGGGTAACAACAGCGAAACTAAAAAAAAAAAATAATAATAAAAGAAAGAAAGAATGGAGAGTGTAGGCCAGGCTTGATGGCTCATGCCTGTAATCCCAGCACTTTGGGAGGCCAAGTCAGGTGGATCACTTGAGGTCAGGAGTTTGAAACCAACATGGCAAACCCTGACTTTACTTAAGATACAAAATTAGCCAAGCATGGTGGTGCATGCCTGTAATCCCAGCTTCTGGGGAGGCTGAGGCAGGCGAATCACTTGAACCTGGGAGGCGTAGGTTGTAGTGAGCCAAGATTATGCCACTGAACTCCAGCCTGGGCAACAAAGCAAAACTCCATTTCCAAAAAAAAAAAAAAAGAAAACCGAAAGCGTATAGATTTGCTTTCAGCATTTTTTAGGTTTATACTTTCCTAGTAAATTACTTACCTTACTAAAATGATTTGTTTTGTTCCAACAGTGCTCTTTTCTTCTGAAAATAGCTACAAATTTATACTCAAATAAACATGCTTACTGATTCCAAAATTTTCTTTTTTTGTGACGGAGTTTTGCTCTTGTTACCCAGACTGGAGTGCAATGGCACGATCTCAGCTCACCGCAACCTCCACCTCCTGGGTTCAAGCAATTCTCCTGCCTCAGCCTCCGGAGTAGCTGGGACTACAGGCGCGCACCACCATGCCCAGCTAATTTTTGTATTTTTAGTAGAGATGGGGTTTCACCATGTTGACCAGAATGGTCTCGATCTCTTGACCTCGTGATCCACCCGCCTCGGCCTTCCAAAGTGCTGGGATTACAGGTGTGAGCCACCGTGCCCAACCCAAAATTTTCTTATACCTAAGGTTTAACTTCAAAGTAATGCATATGTATATTTAACTTTATGTAAATCAAAACTAAGAACGTTTATGTGTTTGCAGGCAGAGAAGCCACATGTTCAAAACTATATAACAATTTTTAAATGTTTATTCAGGACTCAGAACGAGTGAACTTTATACTTCTATATAATTTTTACTATAATCATAAAAATAGACCTGTAGTCAACAACAACTGTTCATTTAAAAAAACTTAAACAGTAGAATTGGTTTGTAATACAAAGGATTAATGCTGGAGATGATGAATACTTCATTTTTCCTGATGTAATTATTACATATTATACACCTGTATCAAAATATGCTATAAATGGCATAAATATATACACCGAAATGTATCCACAAAAATTAGAAAGTATAAATTTAAGTATGAAAAAACAAATATTTAACCTATGGGAACAATATTCTTTAACTCCTTGGACTTTCAAGTCACTGGCAAAAGGAATTACTAGAAACATTTGTTCATGATGTTACCAAATAGTATATTGTTACCATCTTTTGCCTATACCCTTGAGTAAGGTAAAATAGGTGGTGGAATAGTAACACTTTATTAAATGCACAATTCTCTAAACATTGTTAAATAAAGTTTTAAAAAATTAAGTTAACACATAATTTAAATTTTTTTTTTTTTTTTTTTTGAGACGGAGTTTCGCTTTTGTTACCCAGGCTGGAGTGCAATCGCACGATTTCGGCTCACCGCAACCTTTGCCTTCTGGGTTCAAGCAATTCTCCTGCCTCAGCCTCTTGAGTAGCTAAGACTACAGGTCCGCACCACCACGCCCAGCTAATTTTTTTGTGTTTTTAGAAGAGACGGGGTTTCACCTTGTTGACCAGGATGGTCTCGATCTCTTGACCTTGTGATCCTCCCGCCTCAGCTCCCAAACTGCTGGGATTATAGGCGTGAGCCACCGCGCCCAGCCTTAAAATTTTAAGAATATACATTTTATTACATAACAGTACAACTAGTAAAATGATATACTACTAATTTCAACTAAAATTTAAAATGCTTTTTTTGGCCAGGCACGGTGGCTCACATCTGTAGTCCCAGCACTTTGGGAGGCCGAGGCTGGTAGATCACGAGGTCAGGAGTTGGAGACCAGCCTGACCAACGTGGTGAAACACCGACTTTACTAAAAATACAAAAATTAGCTGGGCGTAGTGGCACACATCGGTAATCCCAGCTACTCAGGAGGCTGAGGCTAGAGAATACTTTGAACCCTGGGAGGTAGATGGAGGTTGCAGTGAGCAAAGATTGCATCACTACACTCAAATCTGGATGACAGAGATAGACTTCATCTCAAAAAAACAAATGAAAATAAAATGCTTCTGACTATAATGCAGAATATTATTCTGAACACCTACCTCAGGCACCACCTATGTTAAAAAGAGCCTCTCAACTTAGATGTTTATAATTTGTCTTACATTTTAATGCCCTTACCCTTCCATAGAAAAGATCATAACGAATGCCTTCCTAATTTTAAAGTCTCATACAATAGGAATGAAGAGCATGAAGTAACTTGACAGTTGAAATTATGACATTATTCGTGTTACAAATCTGTTTTTTTAAAGGTATATATATATATACAATTTTTTTTTAGATGAAGTTTTGCTCTTGTTGCCCATTCTGGAGTGCAATGCCATGATCTCAGATTACCACAATCTCCACCTCCTGAACTGAAGCGATTCTCCTGCCTCAGCCTCACTAGTAGCTGGCTTACAGGTGTGTGCCACCACGCGCAGCTAATTTTGTATTTTCAGTAGAGATGGGGTTTCTCCATTTTGATTAGTCCGGTCTTGAACTCCTCACCTCAGGTGATCTGCCTGCCTCAGCCTCCCAAAGTGCTGGGACTGCAGGTGTGAGCCATCATGCTAAAAGTGTACTTTGAATGTAATTATAACTTTTCAAAAAATTTTTGCGTCTTTTACAGTCATATACAAATGATTTATCTAACAACTTTAGCTCTCGATTATTTTTTATACTCACAACTCTGATTTACTGTAACGTCTCAGTCAGTGCCTTAGATATTTTAACTGTAAGTTATGATATTTACATAAACTTTGTATTAAAATTTTATATTTACTGCATCTGCAAATATATGTGTGTGTGTATATGTATATATATATATATATATATATTTTTTTTTTTTTAAAGACAGATTTTCACTCTTGTCACCCAGGTGGGAGTGCAATGGCACAATCTTGGCCCACTGCTCCCAGGTGTAAGCGCTTCTCCTGCCTGAGCCTCCTGAGTAGCTGGGAATACATTACAGGCACCAGCCACCATGCCTGGGTAATTTTTGCATTTTTTGTAGGGATGAGGTTTCCCCATGTTGACCAGGCTAGTCTCGAACTCTTGACCTGAGGTGATCCACCTGCCTCGGCCTCCCAAAGTGCTGGGACTACAGGCGTGAGCCACCATGTCTGGCCTGCAAAAACGTATTTTAGTATAAACTCTCTTGTGTTTTCTAAGCTATAGGTTTTGAAAAGTAGGTTTTTCCAAATTTATTACGTTTGCAGAATTTTTCTCCAATACAGAATGCCTGATGTTGAACAAAGTTTGAGCAGCTGCTTCAGGGTTTTTCTCTAGTACAAAATGTGGGTGATAAGATCTGTGATACACAAAATGTACTAAAACCTTCTTTATGTTTGTAATATTTGTCTTCAAAATGAATACACTTAGCTTTAAAGGCTTTATTTTCCTTTTTGACAGTAATTGCATTTATTATGCTTTTATTAAGTGCCAACATTCTGATATTAAGATGTGAGCAGATATTAATGGCTATTCCATATCCTTTGTATTTGTACAATTTTTCTCAAGTATAAATGCTTTACTGTGCAATAAGATTTGGTCATTAACAGTATTGCCAAATACTTCACACTTAGTTTTCTCCAGTATGAATTATCTTACGTACAATCAAGTGGAAAAACTATTTAAAGTCTTTGACACATTCTTTACATTTCTAGTATGTTACACCAGTATGACTTTTTTTATATTTAGAAAAGTTTAAGCTGTTGTCAAAATCATTGTCACATCAATTAGTTTTGTAGATTTTCTCTCCAATATGAATTTTTTTATTTCTAGCAAGGTTCGCAGATTAATTAAAAGCTTTCTCACATCTTTCCCATTTATAAGGTTTCTCTCCGGTATGAATTATCTTATAATCAGTAAGTTCTGAGGATCAGTTAAAAGCTTTGCCACATTCTTCACATTTGCAGGGTTTCTTTTCAATATGAAGTTTCTTAAGTTCAGAAAGTTTTGAGGATCGGTAAAAAGCTTTTCCACATTCTTCACATTTGTAGGGCTTCTCACCAGTATGAATTCGTTTATGTATAGTAAGGGTTAAGGAGAGTTTAAAAGCTTTGCCACATTCTTTACATTTGTAGGGTTTCTCTCCGGTATGAATTCTCTTATGTGCAGTAAGACTTGAGGATCGGGTAAAAGCTTTTCCACATTCTTCACATTTGTAGGGTTTCTCTCCAGTATGAATTCTCTTATGTACAGTAAGAGTTGAGGATTGGGTAAAAGCTTTGCCACATTCTTCACAGATGTAGGGTTGCTCTCTGGTATGAATTCTTTTATGAGCAGTAAGATTTGAGAATTGGGTAAAAGCTTTGCCACATTCTTCACATTTGTAGGGTTTCTCTATGGTATGAACTCTCTTATGTGCAGTAAGAGTTGAGGATCGGGTAAAAGGTTTGCCACATTCTTCACATCTGTAGGGTTTCTCTCCTGTATGAACTCTCTTATGTGCAGTAAGAGTTGAGGATCGGGTAAAAGGTTTGCCACATTCTTCACATTTGTAGGGTTTCTCTCCTGTATGAATTCTCTTATGTGTAGTAAGGTGTGAGGACCACCTAAAGGCTTTGCCACATTCTTCACATTTGTAGGGTTTCTCTCCTGTATGAATTCTCTTATGTGTAGTAAGGTGTGAGGACCGCTTAAAGGCTTTGCCACATTCTTCACATTTGTATGATTTTTCTTGAGTATAATTTTTTTTATATGTAGTAAGGCTTGAGAATTGGTTAAAAGCTTTGTCACATTCTTGACATTTGTAGAGTTTCTCACAAGTATAAATTCTCTTCTGTGTAGTAAGCTTTGAAGATTGGTTAAAACCTTTTTCACATTCTTCACATTTGCCAAAATTCACTCTAGTATAAATTCTTTTACATTGAGTTAGGCGTGAAAGCATGCAAAATGATTTGTCACATTCTTCACAGTTGAAATGTTTATTTTCCATATGTTTGATCTTATGTCTATCTGAATGTGGAAATTTATGAAAGACTCGCACATATTTATCACACGGAAACATCTTGCTCTGGGTAGTTGGTAAACATTGGTTAAGTCCATTAAAACCTCCTTTGTGGACCTTACACTCAACCACAATTTTGCAGCCGTTTAATTGAAAATTCTCATTTCCACATTTTTCATATCTTCTCAGTGTCATGCTTTGAGAAGAATCTTTTATGTTCTGCTCTGGCCAAAACTCTTGGGCAAAATGAGAACACATTACTGAAAGAAATAAAAATAACAAATTACTTTACAGACTCAGATAAACAGACTTTCCAGATATAATTTATAAAATTACACAAACGACACAAGCAAGATGATACTGCAGTAATTAAGAGAGTGCATTGCACCAGGTGGGTACAATGCAAAGAGCCACACAGAAGAAAAGAAATTCTGTCACATTTATCCAACACAACTTTTTCTACTACCCAAGATAATACAATGCTTTTAGAAGTAAATTGCCAACTTTACTACTTAAAATTATTTATTTTACTTTTTTTTGAGATGGATTTTCGCTCCTCTTATTCAGGCTGAAGTGCAATGGCGCAATCTTGGCACAGGGAAACCTCCGCCTCCTGGGTTCAGGCAATTCTCCTGCCTCAGCCTCCTGAGTAGCTGGGATTACAGCCACGTGCCACTATGCCAGCTAATTTTTTGTATTTTTAGTAGAGACGTGGTTTTCACCATGTTGACCAGGATGGTCCTGATCTCTTGACTTCGTGATCCACCAGCCTCGGCCTCCCAACATGCTGGGGTTACAGGCGTGAGCCACTGCCAGGCCAGTTTTTTGTTTTTTTTTGTTTTTGAGACGGAGTTTCTCAGTTGTTACCCAGACTGGAGTACAATGGTGCAATCTCGGCTCACTGCAACCTCCGCCTCCTGGTTTCAAGCAATTCTCCTGCCCCAGCATCTCGAGTAGCTGGGACTACAGGCGTGCACCACTATGCCCAGCTAATTTTTGTATTTTTAGTAGAGACAAGGTTTTCACCATGTTGAGCAGGATAGTCTCGATCTCTTGACCTCGTGATCCACCCACCTCGGCCTCCCAAAGTGCTGGAATTACACGCATGAGCTACCACCCGGTTGCACTTAATTTTTCAAAGATGTCAAATCAGCCTAACGTGGTGAACCAATTCAACATAATCTCTACAAAAATCCCATTAGAGATGATTCATGCGTATAATCCTATCACTTTGGGAGGCTGAGTTGGGCAGATCACCTAAGGTCAAAAGTTTGAGACCAGCCCAGCTAACATGGTGAAACCCTTTCTCTACTAAATATACAAAAATTAGCTGTCTGTGGTGGCACATGCCTGTAGTCCCAGCTACACAGGGGGTTGAAGCAGGAGAATTATTTGAACCCAGGAGGTGAAGGCTGCAGTGAGCAAGATTGTGCCACTACACTCTAGCCTAGGCCACCAAAAAAAACAAAAAGTTATACACACATAGACATACACTGGAGTATACCTTTAAATAAATCTTGTTACATTTTAAGATCAACTTTGAGAATATTATGCCACATGAAGCCAGTAATAAAATGATGGATACTATATGATTCCACTTATATGAGGTATCTTAATAAGTCACATTCATCGAAACAAAAGGTACAAGGGTGTTTGTCAAGGGCTAAAGAGAGGATAAAATGGGCAGTTATTACTTAATGGGTATCGAGTTGTAGTTTCACAAGATGAAAAGTTTATGGAAGTCATTTGCATAACAATATAAATATGCTAAACTTGCCTGAAGTGTCATTTCTTTGAGACAGGTTCTCATTCCATCACCCAAGTTTGAGTAAAGTGGCACAATTATGGCTCACTGTAGCCTCAAACTCTCAGGTTAAAGTAATCATGCACCACCAATCTCCCAAGAAGCTGGGACCACAAGTGCACACCACCATGCCTGGCTATTTTTAATTTTTTTTTTTTTTTGCAGAAAGAGAATCTCCGTACACTTTCCAGGCTAGTGTCATACTTTTGGGTTCAAGTGATTCTCCTGTCTCAGCCTCCCAAAATCCTGGGATCAAAGATGTGAGTCACTACCATGCCTGGCCATGAAATATAAACTGAAATAGATTTTAGATGGTAAAATTTATTGTATGTGGTTTTACAACATTTGTTTTAAAGATAAATTTTATAAATACAGAATCATAAATCTTTACCTTCAAATCACAGAATTTTATCTCTCACATGAAAGAAATATACATTTATAAATAAACACAAGGTGAAAATAAGACTATCTTTATAACTAATCACTTAAACGAGATAAAACCACCATTGAAAATCAACTAAGAATACATTAAACATAAGGCATAACCAAAATTGGGGTCATATTTATAGACAAATACATATATATAATATGACTGGGAGAAACATACGGCTTGCTTATCTCTTAATTAAATCCCACATTGACTTAAAGTATACAACAGAATTTCACAAATTGTCTAAAATGGCAAAACAAAAACCACAATAAACAGATTTTTTTTTATTGTACTTTAGGTTCTGGGGTACATGTGCAGATGATGCAGGATTGCTGCCTAGGTACATACATGCCAATGTGGTTTTCTGCTTCCATCTCCCCATCACCCATACTATATCTGCAATTTCTCCCCATGTTATCCCTCCCTAATCTCGCCACTTCCTGCTGTCCCTTTTCTAGCCTCCACCAAGATACCCCAGTATGTGATGCTCCCCTCCCTGTGTCCATGTGTTCTCACTGTTCAACACCTGCCTATGAGTGAGAACATGTGGTGTTTGATTTTCTGTTCTTGTGTCAGTTTGCTGAGAATGATGGTTTCCAGATTCATCTATGTCCCACACAAAGGACACAAACTCATCATTTCTTTTGGCTGCATAGTGTTCCATGGTATATCTGTGCCACGTTGTCCTTGTCCAGTCTATCATCGATGGGCATTTGGGTTGGTTCCAGGTCTTTGCTATTGTAAACAGTGCCGCTATGAACATATGTGTGCATGTGTCTTTATAACAGAATGATTTATAATTCTTTGAAAATATACCCAGTAATGGGATTGCTGGGTCAAATGGAATTTCGATTTCTAGGTCCTTGAGGAAGTGCCACACTGTCTTTCACAATGGTTGAACTAGTTTATACTCTCACCAACAGTGTAAAAGTGTGATTTCTCCAGATCCTCTCCAGCATCGATAAACAGATTTTAAACTGAAAAAGCACAGGAATACAGAATGACAAAACTATTTGATAAGAGAGAAATGTTTATTTATAAAATCTTGCAGGCAACATTGATGTAGCATTAAAATAATGTGTCTAGGAAACTGTAATATTTGACTGTAACTGTACTCATGGAAGGCAGGTATTCTGAATCCTTGGCATATGCTATATGTCAGTATAATTCCAGAAAAAATGCAGTATTATCATAAGTGAAAGATTCTGAGAAAACTTTTTTTTTTTGAGATGGAGTTTCGCTCTTGTTACCCAGGCTGGAGTGCAATGGCGCAATCTTGGCTGACTGCAACGTCCGCCTCCTGGGTTCAGACAATTCTCCTGCCTCAGCCTCCTGAGTACCTGGGATTACAGGCACGTGCCACAATGCCCAGCTTACTTTTTGTATTTTTAGGAGAGACAAGGTTTCACCATGTTGACCAGGATGGTCTCATCTCTTGATCTCGTGATCCAACTGCCTCGGCCTCCCAAAGTGCTGAGATTACAGGCTTGAGCCACCGTGCCCAGTCTCTGAGAAACTTAATAAATAATCATCTAAAAAAACTAGAAGGCTTGGCATGGTGGCTTACAGCTCTAATCCCAGCACTTTGGGAGACTGAGGTGGATGGATCACCTGAGGTCAAGAGTTCAAGACCAGCCTGGCCAATGTGGTGAAACCCCATCTCTACTAAAAATACAAAAGTTAGCCAGATGTGGTGGTGAGCACCTGTAATTCCAGCTACTTGGGAGGCTGAGGCAGGAGAATCACTTAACCCAGGAGGCAGAGGTGGCAGTAAGCCAATATCACGCCACTGCACTTCAGTCTAGGCAACAGGAGCAGAACTTCATCTCAAAAACAAAACAAGATTATTTCAGGCTGAGTGTGGTGGCTCACACCTGTAATCCCAGAACTTTGGGGGGTCGAGGCAGGTGGATTACCTGAGGTCAGGAGTTCAAGATCAGCCTGGCCAACATGGTAAAACCTGGACTCTACTAAAAATACAGAAATTAGCTGGGCATGGGGGTGAGGGCCTATAGTCCCAGCTAGTCAGGAAGCTGAGGCAGGAGAATCAATTGAACCTGGGAGGTGGAAGTTTCAGTGAGCCGACGTTGCACCACTGCAGTACAGGCTGGGCAACAGAACAGGACTCCATCTCAATAAAAACAAAAACCAGAGATAGTTTTATGTTTCAAATACATAATATTTTTACACAAAATGAAACTGCTGTAATCCAAATTTAGAAGCAGAAATTAGCCTTACATTGCTAAATATATATATAATGCTAAACATATATCAGTGTTAAATATATAAAAATATATATTGCAGAATATGGTTAGAGTGTCTGATATATAAAACAAATATTTGGGAATAAATGATATTATTTAGGTATATATTATTAGGCTGGAGAAAGTGGGTACAAATCATAGTTATTTTTTCCTACAGCAAACTAAAATTTGTAACTGTTTTAGTAAATATGGAGTACCTACTAATTATCAAATTTACTTCAGGTATTACATGTAAATTCTAGCATATTGTTCTAAATTTCTGAATCTAAAATTCCAGACAAATTTGAAATAGAAAATGGAGAATAAAAAAATATATAGGGAGAATAAAGTCAGTAAGATGGGAGAATAAAAGGTGCCCTATTTTGTTATTTCCTGCACAGCAAGACAATTTGTCAGCCATCCCTGACAAAAATGCCTTTATGAGACAGCCAGGTATCATGGCTCACACCTGTAATGAAAGATACATGGTACATTGAGTTTAGAGAACTGCTTCAGGTTAGGATTTCAAAACCAGCCTGAATTATGTAGCAAGACTCCATCTCAAAATAAGTGCCTTTGATAGCTTTGAGATCCAGAGAGAGACTTGTGGAACTCTCATACAGCCCAAGATTGAAAAGTTTTTTCAGAAGGCGCAACCTCCTTCAGGCCCTGGTGCAAACTACAGAATCCCATTCCTAACTACAGACTAGGACATGGCCCACCCAACTTGGTCCCACTGAGAAATCTGAGCTTAGTTTATAACCATCCCAATCTCCTCCCAGCTAAAGTCTGGGAAAGATCCTGCTTTTTCAGAGGCCGGTGGGAAGATACCTATTTATACCCACGTGGGCAGGCCTGCAGACCTTGGCCTTTACTGTGGTCTCTGAAGCAGTTCAATGACTCAGTTCCAGCTCCCTGAGCCACAGTTTATGGGCAGTTCTGCCTACATAGAAACCCACACAGTGACCTGGAAAGATTCTTTCTGGTACTCACTGAAAGCTGTAATCATTCACATTTTGATATTAGGCCCATGATATGCCGACCAAACTGCAGAAACCTGGACTAGTGTCTGCACAACAGAACAAAGTCCCCCCACAAAATTCAGTCTGTCTGAAAAATAAAATGGGAATTTAAACTATGCAAGTTTCCTATAACAAGCCAATTAAAGGTAGACCCTAGACCAAGCAGCCTTATGACAAAGCTACAACCCCTCTTTACTAAAACTTCACAGGGCATCCCATCACCCTCTGGGTCAAACAAAAGAAGTGGTCCCAGAACCACTTATCCTCTTCGAACTTAACTGGGATCTCTAAGAATTTTTGTTTATGTAAAGAAAATATGGCACATGTACGCCATGGAATACTATGCAGCCAAAAAAGAGAATGAGTTCATGTCTTTTGCAGGGACATGAATGAAGCTGGAAACCATCATTCTCAGCAAACTGACACAAGAATAGACAACCAAACACTGCATTTTCTCACTTTTAAATGGTCTCTTTCTGTTGCCCAGGCTGCAGTGCACTGCCATAATTTTGGCTCACTGCAACCTCTGCCTCCTGGGTTAAGGCAATTCTCCTGCCTTGGTCTCCCAAGTAGCTGGGATTACAGGCACATGCCACCTAATTTTGGCTTTTAAAAGTGGAGACAGGGTTTCACCATGTTGGCCAGGATGGTCTTCATCTCCTGACCTCATGATCTACCCCCCGCAGCCTGCAAAAGTGCTGGGATTACAGGCATAAGCCACCGCACCCACTCTTCATTCTTTTAATAGTGTCTGTCACAAAGTAAAAGATTTTGACCTTAATAAAATCCAACTTATCATTCAAAAAAAAAACCTCCTGAAACCAGTTTATAAAAACTTGAGCTGGGTGTAATGGCTCACACCTATAATCCTAGCACTTTGGGAGGCCGAGGCGGGTGGATCACGAGGTCAAGAGATCAAGACCATCCTAGTCAACATAATGAAACCCCGTCTCTACTAAAAATACAAAAAATTAGCTGGGCATGGATGCATGTGCCTGTAATCCCAGCCACTCAGGAGGCTGAGGCAGGAGAATTACCTGAACTAAGGAGGCAGAGGTTGCGGTGAGCCGAGATCACGCCATTGCACTCCAGCCTGGGTAACAAGAGCGAAACTCCATCTCAAAACAACAACAACAATAAACTTGAGGTGTTTTCTCCTTCTATACACAGATGCCAATGCAAAAAGTATATTGTGCCCATTGCCAATGCTGCTAGTTTAAAGTAACACTGAAAGTATGTAGCAGATTAGTCAAAAAATGAAAAGGAGCAATTGAAATTAAAGACAATTAAGGTAAAAGTCACTGGCTGCAGCTCATAATCACAAATATAAACACAAACAGTACAATTAAAACTTGTTTAAACTACTAAATATACTCAGTAAATTAGAATAATATATAATTAACAGACAAGTTAAGGTTCCATGAACTTAATCTCTCTGATAAAGTAGAGGAAAAAAATTTTATTTACAACAGCATTAAAATAATAAATTTCTGAGAACAAATATAACCAAGGAGGTATGAAATTTTTACAATGAGAAATATATAAATGAAAGAAATTATAATAGACATAAATAGGCCGGGCGCGGTTGCTCACGCCTATAATTCCAGCACTTTGGGAGGCCGAGGCAGATGGATCACGAGATCAAGAGATCGAGACCATCCTGGTCAATGAGGTGAAACCCCGTCTCTACTAAAAATACAAAAATTAGGTGGGCAAGGTGGTGCCTGTAGTCTGAGATACTGGGGAGGCTGAGACAGGAGAATTGCTTGAACCCAAAAGGCAGAGTTTGCAATGAGCCGAGACCTGCCATTGCACTCCAGTGTGGGTAACAAGAGCAAAACTCCATTTCAAAAAAACAAAAAGACATGAATAAATTTGCAGATATTTTATGTCTATAAATTGAAAGAATAAATATTATTAAAGTGCCATGTTATCCTAAGTAACCTATAGATTCAATAAACTCCCTATCAAAATTTTAGTAGCATTTGTTTTTCACAGGAATAAAAAACATAATTCTAAAATTTACATGAAACTATGACACACTTTAAATAGTCAAAGCAATAATGAGAAAAAAAAAGGAGAAACATGGCATACTTTATTTTATTCTTTATTTTTTTATTTTTTTGAGATGGAGTTATACTGTCGTTACCGAGACTGAAGTGCAATGGCACAATCTCAGCTCACTGCAACCTCCGTCTCCTGGGTTCAAGCAATTCTCCTGCCTCAGACTCCCAAGTACCTGGAACTACAGGCGTGCACCACCGTGTCCAGCTAATTTTTTGTACTTTAGTAAAGACAGGGTTTCACCATGTTGACAAGCACGATCTCGATCTCTTGACCTTGTAATCCATCGCCTCAGCCTCCCAAAGTGCTAAGATTATAGGTGTAAGCCACCATGCCCGGCCCAAAAATAGCATACCTTAAAATTTCAAGACTATATTTGAAGATTATAGAAATACAAACAAGATAAAATGTGCAGGGAAAAAAAAAAAGGCTAAGAACAGTGGCTCACACCTGTAATCCCAGCACTTTGGGAAGCTGAGGCAGACAAATCACTTGAGGGCAGGAGTTCAAGACCAGCCTGGCCATCATGCTGAAACCCCAGCTCTACTAAAAATACAAAATTAGCCTGGTATAGCGGCACAAACATGTAATCCCAGCTACTCAAGAGGGTGAGGCAGGAGAAATGCTTAAATCCAGCAGGGAGAGTCACAGTGAAACGAGATTGTGCCACTGTTATGTAGCCTAAGCAACAGAGTGATGCTCTGTCTCAAAAAAAAAAAAAAGTAAAGAAACCCACTTCTCATACATTTCAGACATGATGCAAAAAAATTATTTAACATCAAGTTGCTCAAAATTATGCAGATATTTCTGTGTCTCAAAAAAAATTGAATAAGCATTCAGATTGCATAGTCTCTTATATGTCATGAAGAGTACATTGGTTCTCACTGAAAACTTGAAGGAAAATCACCAAAAAAGTAAATAGAAACCTTAGAGAATTTAAAAGCATACGACAGAAAATGCTCAAATGTCAGAACAAATAAAAAAACTCAGGTTTTCCAGAAACTATTTCCTTTAAAACACAGATTCCCAAATTGCTATTTTAAGAACTGGCTTTCTCTTTGACCTTTGGACCCTCATCTGTGTCATGTGTTGTATTCACTTTTACTCTTACTTACCTGGGGGTTCATCTGCCATCTCATCTCTCTTCATAATCAAAGGATCCTTTTCTTGCTCCAGACAGGCGATCAGGTCTGGTTTAGAGACAGCAATACCTGTTCGATTAAGAAATAAGTAACATGAATCTTGCTCATATTCTTCAATTACCAACCTAGTAAAGTGCTCAGTAAAATGATGTAATAGAATAGTCCAACGTATAACAGAAATTTTCAAATATTGAGAAAAATATTCTAAATTTGTAAGTTCTTCATTTCATTACCCAGTAATACTGAGTCAAAACTTGGTGTTGGCAATTAGATTTTAAGGTATGGGAAACAATATGTCACTAAATTTCTCAAATTACCACTAATCTAGAATGAATGACACAGATCAGGTCAGAAATGTGGTAAATTCACGTCAAGATGAAACATATTAGGCCAAACCCGGTGGCTCACACCTGTAATCCCAGCACTTTGGGAGGCCGAGGCGGGTGGATCACGAGGTCAAGAGACCGAGACCATCCTGGTCAACATGGTGAATCCCCATCTCTACTAAAAATAAAAAAAATTAGCTGAGCATGGTGGTGCGTGCCTGTAATCCCAGCTACTCAGGAGGCTGAGGCAGGAGAATTGCCTGAACCCAGGAGGTGTATGTTGCGGTGAGCCGAGATTGCGCCATTGCACTGCAGACTGGGTAACAAAAGCGAAACTTTATCTCAAAAGAAAAAAATAAATAGATAAAAAATAAAACATATTAAAAAAGCTTTTTTCTATTTATATAAATCCTTAGAGTTTCTCAAAAACGGGGATCTGAAACTCATTTATGCAAAACATATATAACCAAAATACATTTTAGAAATAAGAGAAATACAACCTTTAGGGTATATTAGGAACTGTGTGTTGAAATTATCCTTACCCAGGAAGACAAGGTTTCTGTAGTTTTCTAAAATCACATTTTTATATAAATTCCGCTGTGCAGTATCCAGGCATTGCCACTCTTCCAGAGAAAATTCTATGGCCACATCCCTAAATGTCAACAGTCCCTGAAAAACACACACACACAAACATATATACCAGGTAGACAACAGAATTCATAATTTGAATCAAGGTAAAATGAAAGAGTAACAAGAATAGGTTCTGACTTGTAGAAGTGACAGAAATTATCCAATAAAATAAATTTGTACACAGACATATTTCCTAATGTGTTCTCTAACCCTGAGAAAACAGAGTGGCAAAAGAGGCACAACATCAGTGTATATAGAATAATTTTCTAGATAATAACATACGTAATAGACCAAGTGTGGTGGCTCATGCCTGTAATCCCAGCACTCTGGGAGGCCGAGGTGGGCAGATCATTTGAGGTCAGTAGACCAGCCTGATCAACACGCAGAAACTCCATCTCTACTAAGAATACAAAATTAGCCAGGCGTGGTGGCACATGCCTCTATGCCCAGCTACTCAGGAGGCTGATACAAAAGAATTGCTTGAACCCAAAAGGCGGAGGTTGTGGTGAGCAGAGATCGCTCCATTGAATATCAGCCTGGGCAGCAAAGAGTAAGATGCCATCTCAGAAACAAAAACAACAACAACAACAACAACACAAAATGAAAATAAATAACATATGTAATTAAGGGCATAAACACAAACATGTACCTTTTTTAGTGTACAGAAGTTTCCATATAATAAAGACTATCGTGCTTAAATAAGCATTTTGTTAAGTGTTCTGCATAGAGCTAATGGAGAACACAGATGGAACCTCAACATTAGATTTTCTCCATCTTTACTAAAAACTCCACCTTTTCTCAACAGAAACCATGAGTTTCCACGCCTTCCCATGTCCAACAGCCACCTAGAAAATTTTTAATATTGCAGATTATAAAATAATGGTGAGAATTCTCCATGGCATATAAGAAGCCTTGATGAAGAGAAGAATGATAGAAAAGAAATATTTTTCAGATATTCCTGACTATTATTGAAATTTTTAGAAGTCAAAGTTTACAAGTACTACATGCATGGCATTCCAGGAGAAAAACACAGCTCTTGATCTGACACAGGTTTAACTGAAAATAAGTCAGTTTTTTTCCTCTTTCTCTGAAAATTCTTTTCAGAAGCAATTCTCTGAACAAATCACACGTGCATCGAGAGAATATGCCTTTAAAGGTGTCAGCACCACATGTTTACCTGCTACCACCACACCCATAGGCAGGACCAAGACTCGCAGAAAAAGTCCATCAATTTCTGTTCTTTATACCAGAAGAGATTCAGGAACACTGAACTGCTGCACAGAGATGAAGATTTTTTTTGCGGCCGGGCGCGGTGGCTCACGCCTGTAATCCCAGCACTTTGGGAGGCCGAGGCAGGGGAATCACGAGGTCAAGAGATCGAGACCATCCTGGTCAACATGGTGAAACCCCATCTCTAGTAAAAATACAAAAAATTAGCTGGACATGGTGGCACGTGCCTGTAATCCCAGCTACTCAGGAGGCTGACGCAGGAGAATTGCCTGAACCCAGGAGGCAGAGGTTGAGGTGAGCTGATATTGCGCCATTGCACTCCAGCCTGGGTAACAAGAGCGAAACTCCATCTAAAAAAAAAAAAAAAAAAGATTTTTTTTTTTTCTTTTGTTTGAGACAGAGTCTTGCTCCATCGCCTGGCTGGAGTGCCGTGGACAATCTCGGCTCACTGCAACCTCCGCCTCCTGGGTTCAAGGGATTCTTCTGCCTCAGCCTCCCGAGTAGCTGGAACCACAGGTGTGTGCCACCACACCCAGCTAATTTTTGTATTTTTAGTAGAGACGGGATTTCATCATGTTAGCCAGGATGGTCTGGATCTCTTGACCTCGTGATCTGCCCACCTCGGCTTCCCAAAGTGCTGGGATTACAGGCGTGAGCCACTGCATCTGGCCCAGAAGTTTCTTTTTGGTCCTCAGGTACCCTCTTCTGCCATGGACAATATCAATTTCTTCTAAAGTAATGAAAATATGGGTCACACTTTCCTGTCACTACCAAACCAAACAGAACCAGCCCTCTGACTACTCTTTAGTGCAGAGGTGAAACTTAATTCTCATGAATGTATCTTGAACCCCACATACTTGATTCTGGCCTCATCTAAGAGTCACACATTAAATGAGGCATTTAATTAAAACAACATGGACTGGGTGCAGTGGCTCACCATTGTAATCCCAGCACTTTGGGAGGCCAAAGCGGGTAAATCACGAGGTGAGGAGTTCAAGACCATCCTGGCAAACATGGTGAAACCTTGTCTCTACTTACAAAATACAAAAAAAGTGGCTGGGCACGGTGGCTCACGCCTGTAATCCTAGCACTCTGGGAGGTCAAGGCGGGTGGATCACATGAAGTTGGGAGTTCAAGACTAGCCTGACCAACATGGTGCAACCCCGTCTTTTTATAATATAAAATAATACAAAAAAAGTAATTAGCTGGGTGTGGTGGCACATGCCTATAATCCAAGCTATTTAGGAAGCCAAGGCATGAGAATTGCTTGAACCCAGGATGTAGAAGCTGCAGTGAGCTGAGATCATGCCACTGCACTCCAGCCTGGCGACAAAGTGAGATACCGTCTCAAAAAAAAAAAAAAAAAAACAAACAAAAAAAGACCTTGGCCGGGCTGGGCACAGTGGCTCAACCCTATAATCCTAGCACTTTGGGAGGCCAAAGTGGGCAGATCACTTGAGGTCAGGAGGTTGAGACAAACCTGGCCAACATGGTGAAACCCCAACTCTACTAAAAATATATAAATTAGCTGGGCATAATGATGTGGGCCTGTAATCTCAGCTACTAGGAAAGGCCGAGGCACAAGAATCGCTTAAAACTGGCAGGCGAATGTTGCAATGAGCCGAGATCACACCACTGCACTCCAGCCTGGGCAACAGAGCAAGACTGTCTCAGAAAACAAAAAACAAAAAATTAAACAATGCTGCTTCCACCCAGGACAATAAACAGACCTGTGGATAGGATGTAAGTAGATATTTCTGCAAATTGGTCATGTAATTTTAACTGGAAACCTGGGCTGGGCTGGGAGTCATGACTCAGGCCTGTAATCCTAACACTTTGGAAGGCTGAGGCAGGTAGATCACTTGAGGTCAGGAGTTCAAGACCAACCTGGCCCACATGGTGAAACCCCATCTGTACTAAATATACAAAAATTAGCCTAGCATGGTGGCACATGCCCGTAATCCTAGCTACTCGGGAGGCTGAGGCACAGGAATCACTTGAACCCAGGAGGCAGAGGTGGCAGTGAGCCAAAATTGCACCACTACACTACTCCAGCCTGGACACAGAGCAAGATCCCACCTCAAAAAAAAAAATAATAATTAAATAAAAAATAAAAAAGAAACCAGGGTTGATAACCACTTAGCTAAGTATTGCCTCTAAAGCTTTAATGAGCTTTAAAAATACCTGGAAACTGTGGCCCCACTTTCTGTGATGTAATTCTTCAAACTTAGGAAGGGGTCATGAATGGTTTGCTTGTTTGTTGTTCTCAGATGGAGTCTCACTCTGTCGTGCAGGCTGGTGTCCAGTGGCATGATCTCAGCTCACTGCAACCTCCACCTCCTGGGTTCAGGCGATTCTCTTGCCTCAGCCTTCTGAGTAACTGGGATTATACAGGCGTCTTCCACCACCCCCCGGCTAATTGTATGTGTGTGTGCGTGTGTGTGTGTGTGTGTGTGTGTGTACTTTTAGTAAAGACAGGGTTTCACCATGTTGGCCGGGCTGGTCTCAAACTCCCAACCTCTCGTGATCACGCACCTCAGCCTCCCACACTGCTGGGATTACAGGCATAAGCCCCTGTGCCCAACCATGAATGCGTAAACAAGTTCCTTATAAATGCTGATGTTGCTCTTCTTGGGCTCATGATTAGCTTAGAGAAAGCAGGCACAGCATGGAGTCCCTTACATTCAGCACTCTTGTCACAATATAAATATTTCTAGGTCAAATGAAGACTACAATTTTTCATATTCTTTGCTGGCTCTTTAAAGTTTACAGGATAAACAGAAGGCAGCAACATCTAAATAAGTCTGCATTTGAGAATCAACCTGCACATATGTACTAATGAGGCAGGGGTATAGGGTCTGGAGGAAGGGAACCTAAGACCATTTCACACCAAATTCCTATACCTAAATGGAAAGGAAAACTAACTTTCCAGGCCTAAGTAACAAAAAGACCAGAGGCTATTCCCTTTGGAAATCCCCACCTTTTCTGTTAGGCATACAGAAAATTGGCTGTCCAAAACCAAACAGACTGATTGTGGGTTGAGTCACCATTTGCATAAAAGTGCAACTTTGTAACTTCACCTTAGCTTCTGATTGGTTGCTTTCACAACCAATCGGATATTTGCATGAGTGTGACCTGCATAACTTCACTTTAGCCTCTGATTGGTTGCTTTCTGGAACCAATCAGAGCATAGCATCAAGTGGCCAATGAGAAACCTCTAGGGGTTATTTGAACCCAGGAAGATTCTGTGTCTGGTTCTTAAACCATTGTTCAGGCCCACTTTCACACTGCGGAGTATAATTTCATTTTCAATAAATCCCTGTTTTGTTCTTTTGTTGCTTCATTCTTTCTTTGCTGCTTTGTCCAATTCTTTGTTCAAAAGGCCAAGAACTTCCACAACTTCCAGTCAAGACCCTCTACTGTAACATTTTGGTCAGTCAGGCAGGAAAGAAAGTAGGTCCAAAGTTTAGGACTTATTTTTTTCCTTTCCCCTTTTACATACAGAAAAGTCTTTCTCTTTTCCTTTCTAACTTAGGATGGACAGTAGTAAGCAGGAAGACAACTGCAAGTTTCTGGCCAGAGTTACTTTTTGATGAAACTGAAAAGTTTCCATGTGGAAGTGTAATCCCAGTACTTTGGGAGGCCGAGGCGGGTGGATCACGATGTGAATAGATCAAGACCATCCAGATCAACATGGGGAAACCCCGTCTCTACTAAAAAATAATACCAAACATTAAAAAATTACCTGGGCATGGTGGCGCGTGCCTGTAATCCTAGTTACTCAGGAGGCTGAGGCAGAAGAATTGCCT